AGTAAATCAAACTTAAGACTTCATTACAGAGTTGAAAGTCTGTTTTCCTACAGACCTGGTATACCACATGATGCAATCAAACACATTATTATCTGTCAAGCATCCAAAAAATGAACTAAATGACTCATAAAGGCAATAAATAAGATACCGTCTCTGCCCCTGAAATACCTTACATTGTAAAATTAAGACAAGACCCCCTGAAAGACTAAATCCTGGGGAACCAAGTTAGTCCTATAACGGAAAGGAAGAACGTGGGCTACACAATATGATAAAGTACACAGACACACCCCTACAAGGAAGTAGGATGCCCACAGCTGCATTAGGTTAATAGTCCCTTGCATGTTTTCTCCCCACAGAAAGCGTGAGTTACCTTATTCAGTAATTCTGTTCAGACGTTTTCACACTATTCATATTTCCTTAGGCAGTAGATTCCAGTTTTTCCCCTAGATGAAGGTGTGTCTACTTCCCCGCTTTTAGTGTAATTACCTACAAATCCATGAGTTTATTGTAGGACACTCCTGAGTTTAACCAGGTCTTTGTTAGATAGCCATCAGTAGGTATTTCCAGCAAATCAGTGCTAATATCTCTTCTGACTACCAGTTGTTCACATACAAATAACTCAATGCAGTTGAACTTTGAAAGCTTTAACTTTAAAGCAAGAAAATCCTAGTTCTGTGCAGCAATAGCCAAAAAATCGTAACTGCAGAGTGTACTCAGCAGGCATCCCTATGATTTACAACACAGCCTAATAAAATTATGCCTCATGGAGAAAGGGGAAGAATCTTACTATACCCCACCATGCTTGGCTTGTGCGACAGACAGCAGCTGCTACCGAGATAATTTGCAGAAGGCAGAGTGTATTTCAAGAACGCATTTAAACATCCAAACACAGCTGTACATATACATGACCATACACACATGAAAAGAAATATATGAAATAATTACAGAAGCCTCCATTATATTTACTGCTTACATTTTGCAATTAGGTACTAAGCCTTTTATATTTCAAATACACATGGATTTATTTTTTATTAGGAAGGTCTAGTAGTCATAACATAAACAACGCTTTCGCATTCTGTTAATTCAGACTTGCTAAAGTTAATTACATTTAGAAGTATAGGTATTTGGACAACACCAGGCACAAAGCTCCAAACTTCTACTTTGGTTATAATAGCCAAGGAGTACTGCAGTGACACTGGAAACTGACCCTGCTGGTAGTGACTTCTCTTTTAATAAATTAGACCTTCAGCACCTGACAAGTATATCAAATGTTAAATGGCCCATGGTACCAATAAACAGTATTGATAACTACTTTGAAACAGAATCAGATAAAATTTTGCACTGCGTTTTGTGAAGTCTGAAACTTTCACTATCACCAAACCATTTTTGCATTTATAGACATTTTAAAACATTATTTAAAATTGTCTGAGAACCATTCTTTAACCAGGACTCACATGGGGGATGTGAAGAACAACTATTCCAACTTCTGTCTTATCTCCATTGTTCAAATCTTGCCATAGACTTCCTCTGCTATAATCTGTCTGAAGTCTTTCCTCAGGACAAAAACCAATGTCCTGATGTGCTTTTCACCATTATAGAAGCATTCCCTATGCTTTCCACAATGTATGCTTCATATACCCTAATTAATCTTCATAACCGCTTAATTTAAAGGAGTGGTACTTTCAAACAGGACACTGAAGCATAGCAAGGTCGGAAATGTTCAGCAGTTTTAATGAACTGATTCAAGATGTCCAGGACCATATTTTTCAGAGTACCTACATATCGAAAACATAGCTTATATTGATTTGCTCTAGTCAGACTTGTACATGGGAGCCTCAAATCATATACCTAGAAAGTCACCACCACACAAATTCTGACAGCCCAACCAATGTGGTTTATACGTCTCACCTAGCGGCACGAAGCACCACGATGGTAGGCATCAGCACAGAATTAATTTCTCCAGGACAGTGTTCATCTATGCTACCAAGAGATGATCCCTGTTCTGCAGCCCCTCTCAGCCCTATCCATCAATTCTAACAGCTGCAAAAAGGGAGGCAACGATCCTACAGAAAACTAAGCTCTAATATCTGCAGTCTCCTCCTCAAAGCAGGTCCATCATGGGCACCTTAACAAGCATCAGCCACAGAAGAAAAAAAAAAAAGGTAGATTGAATGGATGTATGCCAAAAAGCACACATACATACAAGGAGATGGGAAAACCTTTTGTTTAGCATTTTATAACTTATGTGCTGTAATTTGCAACCTTGATGTTTTCAGTGTTATGTTTTGAAAAAAAACAAAGTCTACCATGTCGCATCATGCTGGCACCTGTATGATTCATCATCAGTTACAACCTTTACATCTACCATACAGATCTCTGCCATTTGAGCTAAGAGTAACTGACAGTAACAGTATACAGTCACCCCGATGGATACCACCGCGAAAGGTGGTAACACACACTTACAACTTGGCCAAGTATCTGTAGATTTTCACCGAGAAGGAAAGGATACATCTCTAACACAAATGTCAGCTTTCTACATCAAAACAAAGAACTGCTAGAATTTAAGAACAAAAACACAGGGGGGAAAGGGGAAAAAAAAAACCCAGAACACACTAGAATTTTTTAGCACTGAAGAAATAACATGTTTTTCTTTAGTCTTGTGCACAGAACTGGCAGACCTGTTTTGGCTTAAGCTTTAAAAATCAGAAGAAAGTAAAAAAGAAAAAAAAAATCAGACTTGGGTAGACAACTAGCATGGAAAATTTCAGCCCAAGTAGTTAATATTTGGAAATGTTTTAAGCAACTGAAAACATCTTCTAAAGGTATGTGTCAGGCAAACTTAATAATAGGCAGCTGAGCCAGGTGTGCCTATAATACAATTGTTATTCTTTTGTGATTCCACAGCCAAAGGGTTAGTATCATTTGCCTACAGACACAAATCTTCCAAAATACTGTTTTCAGCATTAGGACCAACTTATCTTAAGAATACACAACGTGATATAAATGTCATTTTTAAAGTAAGAAGCGTCCACCGAGCTTAGATCAAATATACGCATTTTGTTAACAGCAATAAGACTTCATAAAACTTCAGAGGCTTTAATGGATTTCTTTTCCAGACATTAACCAAGCAGATTTTCCTTAGTGGATGTAGAAAGCCCCTGCACCACTAAGTACCAAATCAATACTTTCATGCTGGTAAACAAGAATAAGAAGTAAACCTGGTCAGGAGACAGAAGACACTGAAATCTTGATTAATAAAACAGTATTTTAATATATCCCTAGAAACAAAAATTTAACTTGGACTGTTGCAGTGGTATTTCTCACCAGAAGTAAAATGCAAAAGGAAAAGAATCTAAGTGAAAGGTATTCAACATTTTTTCTTTCAGATGCAATAATTGTAAGGCCAGTCTAATTTATCTCAAGTGACATGTTATTCCATTGGCAGTCCACAAAACTTCTCCAGAATCAGGCCCTGAGTATTCTCTGCTACTAGCTGTACTCTTTACCATTTTGTTTTAAAGTACCTATACTGCATGACCAGGCTCAGTGCTCCAAATAGATGGGATAGAGCAGATGGTATCATAAAAGTAGTCACATAAAATGTAACAAATACAAATACTCCCTTACGTTAGCACACAAGTGAACTACATTTATTGGCCCTTAACAGGACAATCCTTAAACCCTCCAAAGACCACCTGATTCATGCTCCCTCTTGGATAATTTCAACAGAACCTAATCCTTTTACTACTTAATGCCTTAAATACAGTAAAGCTCTTTGTGGTTTACCAAAGGTTTGCACTCAAGTTAGCGTGGTTCAGAGCCGAGACCTATTTTCACTCATGAAAAAGCAAACGTACACTGAACTGTAGCTACTCTGATATCCTATTGACTGAGTATTAGCAAGCATCTGGGGAGAAACAGCAAGGAATTGTCACCTCACAAAGAATTGGCAGTATGGGGCGGGTGGAGCAGAAAGCAAGTCTACTTTTAGTGTTCTCATCTGCCAGAACCCAGTACAGAAGGCAACGAATACTCAACACTAGCAATGAGCATATCTTCAGCCAAGAGATAAACCCACACAATAGTGCGCAAGAGATTTCCAACATATATAGATACTTACACATATATGTGTCTATATATATGAAAAAAGCCTTTGAGTCCCATATTTAAGAGTGTGCATGGTTTATTACCATCAAACGAGCTGTAAAAAAAGCACAGATCTTGGCTGGCTAAAGTTGAGAGCAACACTAAGTGCCCATAGACTCTGCCTGCCTTGAGAAACCAGTTCCCGCTGTAAAATAACAGACTTTAGCACATTCTGTAGAATGACATCACCCAAAGCGGCCTGCCAAAAATGTTACTTTTACATTTCTTCAACAAGAAGATTTCCTTTCACCACTCTTTTTAAATGTTGGGTTTGGTGTGGGGTTTTTTTTTTTTTTGGTTGTGGGTTGTTTTTTTTTTTTTTAGTTAGTCAATCGTTCAAAAATAGGAAAGTTCTAAGTATTTCCAGGCATGTAGATTAGCAACTTTTAACACAAGCAAGTGACTATGCCTTTTAAAAATGTTGCGTATATGTATCTTTTTAGTAGATTTATATTTGCAACCGTGCTGAGCTAAAATAATACAAGTTGATGCAATTACCATGCTGAAATGATTTTTTCCTTTTGATTTATCACTATCCCACTGAAGAATACTCCATTTTAGGTGAACAGTGAAAATATGTCTACCCTTTTAGCGAGTTGTAGGTAACCCACTGGAAATTACTGAACATGAACAAGAAGATAAATCGGTCAAATGAGAAAAAAACTTGCATTTTCAAGGAAGCTGTTTAAAGCTTACTGGATGACAATTACAAGTAATGCATTCCACCCTTCCAAATAGTGTAAACAAACACAAAAAAAGCTGCTAACTTAGTTGCAAAAATTATGATTCTTTCACTGAAATATTCAAGATAAGCTCTTCACTTTTTCACTTGTGATGAGGGTTTTGCATCTTACCTTTGCAGAAGCCCCAGCTGAAGCACACAGATTTTTTTTCTTTGGCATTCATTATTCTCAGGTGTTACTACTTTCTCCATCAGTAAGTTGTAGAAAGTCAACATCCAGTTCCTCACTGCAGAAATTGTCTTCATTACTAGGTTTGAACCTAAATAAGATAACTCAATATTAGTTAACGCTGTAAAGGCTGGGATGCTTTCCCTTTTGAAAACCTCAGAAGGGAGGGGAAAAAAAAAAAAAAATTGTAGGGTGTTCAAGCTAGGAGTATAAGTTAAGAGTTATATATGCAACCCAATGCTATTTCTTTGACTTAAAAGAATATTTTAAGTTCCTCTTCCGTAGTTCTTGTTTTTAAGCAAATGAATAGAAATACTACTGAAATCCAGATTTTTTTGGACAGGAGCTGAACTAGTCATAGTCCTAAGTCTGAAGCACTCTGTATGGTACAGGAAATAAAGCAACTTCAGAGAACAATCCAGTGTTATCAGGGGGAGAGACAAGATAGTTCAATGCAATTTTCTAATGTTTTAATCCAATGCTGCAATGTCTTAAACATCACCAAAATTGTCATACTCCTAATAAATATTTATATAGTGTATGTGTGTGCAATATCTTTTAAAGACAGAACTGTGGAGAAAACAATATTCTTCAGTTATTTTTCTCAGTGCTTCCACAATGATTTTTTTAATATAGATTGATTACATTAGGAAAAAGTAGAGCAGATAATGAATGCAACTATTTTGATTTGCTTGTAAAGTAGCTCATATCTAATGTTCTCCAGGAACATATGTTGCAGTGCTCATGTAAGGAATATTAAAAAAAGGTTCATTTATTTATTGTTAAAGAGTCTAGGCAGTAGTAACTTAAGAACCCTAAATTTGCACTGAATTAATTTGTCATCTATGGCCAATTTTTAATGTAAACCTTGAGAAACTTCCACAGTTACTTTGTGTTATAAGTAAATGAAGGAGAAGAAGGTTTTAAGAGCCTAATTTCATGATTTGCAGCTCTTCCTTCTGTATGTCATCCAATTACAATTACTTTAGTGATGCTTTCTATTGCCTGTCTTCAGGTAAAAGGCTGATACCATGAAATCGACATTCTGTTTTCTTGTGACAAGATAAAAAGCATGAATTCACATCATATTCAAATACACTGATCCCAGTATAGCTCAGTGAAGTGAATGGAGTCTTACACAGGCATAAAATGAACTCTTATTTGTTCTGTTAGCTCAGCAATTCCAGGCAACGGAGGATCAATTTAGATTAAGTATGTTTATACAATGGAAGGTGTTTTTAAAATACAGGGGGGGGACAAACCAACCACATGGGCCTATTGCACAGAGAATGGGAGATTTGATTCAGTTGTGTATATGATAATATTTAGTAGAATTACAGTTACTTTTGAAGTTAAAACAACATCCTTGCATTTACAGTGGCTTTACTTGCAGATTGTAGTCCTCTTTCTTGAAAGGGCATCACAGCAAGGTAAGATTAAAGACAAACTTTATAAAACACCATTTTGTGGTATTAACTGTAGAAAAAAGAGGAACTTTTCCCTTCAATTCTTGTCAAGGCTGCTGTAAGAACTTCAGTGCTAAATGCTCAGGTTACACATAATCCTCCAGCTGCGAGGCGACAATCAGCACCAAAATCTCTAGAAAAGCTTTCAGCTCTCAACAGGTGCCTCACCATTGTGTTCAGGTTTAAATCAAAATCTGGCAGAGTGAATGTCCCACCTCCTGCCACCCCTCCCCTTTGAAACAACTCTTATTACAGCTCCTATCAGAGCAGCTCCACTCTCATTTTCTCCGAAAAGACGAAACACGACTTTCACTCTTTTGTTTGAGTGCTTTTTTCCATTATCTTTCTTCATCTGTCTGACTGAGAGATCTGAAGGCAGGAAGTGGAATTTATTTGTTGTGTATTATGAGTCTACTACTTCTCTCCTGACTGCTGAAAACAGGAGCAAATCCTTTGAGAGCCATATAATTATATTGACAAAAATCAGAAAGTCTTTCCCTTTCTCTAGGCAGTTTCAGAAATGACAGTCCAGAAAAACCTCAGAAGTACACCAGTCTGTAACATTAACATTGCATCTGTATTAAAGTGTGAATTAGAGATCTGAATTTCTCTGTAATATCGTGCATTATAAGATTTCCTATAACCCATAAATATTCTTTAGATTAAAATTTGTTTCTGTCCTTTAGAACATCTTCACAAGGCAGGAACGGCAAAGTGCTTCTTACAATTCTGACTTCAGCAGTAAGAACAAACACTGTTAGAACGCTTCGCAGAAATTTTCTCTTTTTTCCAGTGTAGAGGCACGCTCTACCCAGAAGGAATATTTATTAGGAAGAATTCCCTCCTTACTAGCCAGTTGAGCTTTTCTGATCCAGTAACAAATACTTTTTGGCAAAATAAGCAATTTAGAACCCTGCAATACTCAAGGGTGGCTGACTGCCTAGTGAATTAATAATTTATAAAGAAGAAAAAGAAAATGGTTATGAGAGATATCAAAAGATGTAGTAAAACATGATGGCACTTAAAAGAATAAAAAATCTTGACGTTTGATCTGACTTGTTTCCATATGGAGACAAGATTGATAACACAAACCAGACATTTCTTTGGTGCAATTCAGTTTATAAAGTCAAGTTTCCACAACACAATAAGAAAACAGCAAGTAGATTAATCATGCATGATTTCCAGTTTTGCTTTCTGCTCTGCATCTTGCAGAGTTCTTTTGCCATTACCTTTCCAGGCCATGCTCATGACTGCTCCCTCCTGGTTTTTTGCTGCTTTCTGGTTTCTTTCCACCTCCTGTGGACAGATCCTAGCAGTTCACACCCTGCCCCTGGGAATCAGTCCCCAGGGAACTCAGGTCCCAAGACTCACGGCTGATTAACTGTAATTTATATCTATGCAAAAAACCCATGCTGCAGGATATCGTACCTTCCACATGCAACTGAAGCTGTAGCCATACACTACCTATCATAGCAGCCATTACCTCACGGTCATAACATGGAAATAGCTCCCAGTTATGCTGCAATTTCCTGCCATTCCTTTAGGATGGGTATAAGAAATAATTAATGTCCTGTATTGAAGCTGGTAGCTAAAATAACGGCAATCTTCAAAGTCAGTACACTGTGAACATGGCCTTACCCAAAGCAAAAAAAGACAGAGGTTTGCTTGGAACAAGGGACAGCTTTGGTAAAGCAGATTTTGAGAAGAGGCGCAGATGAGACAAATAGGTCTGAGAATATTAAAACAGAAGACAAGAACAGAGAATAAAATCGACATCACTGACGGTTTGCCATTGGCAGGAATAAGCTTCTGCACTGAAGGAAGTATATTCATATAACTGCAGCACATCTAGTTTTCACAACTCTGTTTAGTAGAATTCATAAGATACAGTTCTACTAAGTAGCAGAATTAAACTTTTTCTTATTAAAAAAATCAAAACAAAAATTCAAAGTCTCAAATTTTCATAGATCAAAATTGACTCAAACAAAAGTGGCATAAACACTTAAATGGAAACAGCATATTCTCTTTAATTGCCTTAGTACAACTAGTATCACTTTCAAGAGGAAAGCCTGGAGTCTTTCATTCTGGAAACGGCTAGAACAATCATGGACTTTTTCATATTTTTTTTTTCTCCACATTATTTTAAAGCTAGTAAATTCATTGAAGCTGATCCCCTCCTATAACATCCGTAGGTTTCCACAAAGCAGCAGATTTGTACTGAAAAGAAAATCTTCACCTAAATGCTTCCAAACCACTTTCCCAGAGAGGGGTTTGGCGAGTAACTTGACGTGGTTGCAGGATGACACAAAGAGATTGCCCTGCCTACTGACTTCATTAGGCAGGTAATAACCAGGACACACACAAAGCCAAAGACAGGATTTTGACTCCTAGCCATCCTAGATTTCATGCCAATTACAAAGATTGGTGGACAACCTGAAGTCATCAGTATGTTAGATGTTTCACTGGAAAATATTAATCTTTTTTAGGGGTTCACGCTGACTGTAGCAAAAACCCTATATAGGAAGATGAAATTCCCTCTGCTGAATTATTTTGCTATCAACAGCTCAGGATTCACTAGGAGCCTTAAGTACAAGCCAAGATTTAATTGTCCTAGTTTTTCAGTAATTGTAATAAAAAGACAGGTCTCTGATGCAAATTATTTACAATCTAAACAAGACTGAAAATAGCAAGGAAACCCTGAACAAGTATTGATCACTATAAACAGAAATAATCTCAGGAAACCAGAAGCCTATTGCTGTTGACTTTTCGGGCAAGTGAAAGAAAAAAGTTAGATTTGTTTTGGAGAGGCTCCTTAGAAGCACCCCAAAATATGAAGGAAGCAAAAATGAGAACACAAAGGTACTTTATCTGGAAATGCATTGAACAAGTGACAGAGTCATGTCTCAGCACCGAAAGAGGGGCAAAATAATAAGCAAAAGACATTAGAAATAAAGACATCAGAAAGAAAAAGGAAGAAATCAGGAAGCAT